ACTTACTACATAATTAGAAGTAGCCAATAGGCATGTGGGTCAAATTTGGCTTGGCTTGGAAGCCAACTTGTGAGGCTTGGCTTGAGCCAAAGGTCAGCTTTGGCTTTGGCTTGACCCTGGTGGTGAGTCGTGAGTCGTGAGTGGTGAAAGAGGAGGCTCAGATTTGTTTTTAATATTTTATAATTATTATCAGCAGATGTGAATGAACTCTGTCAGATTTCCTCTCCCCAAATTGGGTGGTATAATAAATATTGTCATTAAATAGGATCTTGTTTCCTTCCTTCTATCTTATTTAAATTTTTACCTGATTCTTGTGCTTCCTTGTCTACATTCATCTGTCCACCCTAAATTACCATAATACCCTCTTAGGTTGAAAGGAAACTTGAGCTTGGCAAAACCTTTTTACCTCTCCAGTGGTGAAAAGATACCTGGGTTTTGATCTTTGTCAATTCTATCCAACACCATTGAGTAATGACCTCGCATTGCGACTTTCTCCCAAATAGTTTCGATGTGGAAAATATATGTACAAAACATACCATGTAATGGAAATATTCAAATAATGAAGACAAATGCCATTCTCGTTCTCATCTTACGATGTGATTTGATGGTCGGAACTATTGATCTTCAAAGCTATCCTTCAAAAAACATGCATAAAGGACTTATTTAATTAGACTCACATCTAATTTAAAGTTCGACCAAGGGTGAGAAGTTAGATGTTGGTCATCGTGGTTTGGATCATTGATTGTAATGATTTGGTGTTTAAACAAAGAAAAAACAAGGAAGAGTATAGCATAAGGTCACCAAATTCATAAGGATACAATATAACAGGTGAAAGAGTCTAAACAACGATTAGATCAAATTCAATTTTCACTTTACATGATTTTTTTCGAAAAAGTACCAAACATTGAAATATTATATAATTGAATTTATGAATAAACTCTTTGTCCATCCTAAAAAGGAAAACAGTTTGTAGACACCGGGTACATACTATTTTCTTATTATCTCTCTCATTATGTGATAGGTGAGGTGATGAGAGAAATAGCGAAAAAAGGAATATATGCACTCAAAGCACGCAAGTTTCTCCTCCCAAAGAACGACGATCTATTGATCATCAAATAACAACTTCAAAATTGTTAACAATGTCTCTTGAGATTGTAAAACTTTTAAATAAAGATAAAGAAAGAGATGGAGAGAAAATAAGATGAAATAAATGACACAAAGGTGGTGTACTATGCATCGTATTGGTTATGGCATGAAACTTGTAATCTAAAACCAAGATCTTCATGCAAATATTTCTTTTTGGCATTGGAAATGATTTCTAAACATGGAGAATTGATATTGACACGGGTTTTCTTGGTTTGAGATAAAAATTCAAGGAGATCGATTCATTTGGTTGTCATGCATAGCATTTTGATAATATCTGGTACGTCCTCCACATGCACTACTTGCTCGAAAATTTGGGCCAAGATTGTCGTTACCACCACATTTCCACGTGAGAAGAGATGGGTGAGTTGAAGCTTGAGTTATAATATAATTTCGTGTTACATGACATTAACCGATAGAAGAAGAAAAACATAAAAGGCTATTCCAAATTTGAATTCCTCTTCTCGGAAAAAAATAAAATAAAATTCTAGAATCAAATCTATGATCTTCCATGCAAAAATGACATTCTACTACGGGGAAAAGATAAAAGTTCGTAGCCTTTTTGTGCTCATATCATTCATCTTCCCCAAAATTATTGCTAGCTAGTTGCTAGTATACCAACTAGTAGAAAATTTCTTTTCATGAGGAAGAGTTGCCAAATTTGGCTTGTGGTTGGTTTAATGGAAGATGCATTATTTATGATATGTGGGAAAACTTGGAAGAAAAAAGAAAAAGAAAAGGTGAAAAACGCTTTAGAAACTACCTACGGAATTGGTATATTTCCATATGGTAAGGAAATTGTGAGCATTGGCTGTCATATAAGCTTTTTCAGAAAGAAACTAAGCTAGCTGTTGGTCGGGTTTATGCAACGCTAATAATAAAGTTCTTTTGGTTTTTTCTTTTATCCTGCCCTACGTTTACAGCAATTAGGTAAAAGAAAAGCAACAAGAGGGCCACAAGCAGGGGCGAAGCCAATTAAGGCCTAGGAGGGTCATATGACCCTTCTGACCCAATGGTAACAGTGTACATATTATCTTATTTACTTGTATAATTGAACTTATTCTAAAATATTTATGTAGAAAAACAATGGATACTTAAGATTTTAGGTTATTAATCTATTATCTCATAGTTTTATTCTCATGGCACATCCTTGTATGCATTTTTCTTCTCCTCTAAACCATCCTAGTCCAAGTCTGGTGGTTGTATGGCTTTTCCATTTATCTTGGCTAATAATGTTGACCCTCCTTGAGAGAATTCCTGGCTACGCCACTGGCCACAAGCAAAGCCCCCTTGATGCAGATGAATCACGCTTATGGGGCACCCCCTTTTCCTGAGGATGCAAATCATTGCTGTCCTTAAAAGCTTAAACTGGTGATAATAAAACAAACCCTTGTTGCTTTTCTCTCTTTAGCTTCCTTTTTATCCCTTTGAAGAGGTAACTTTACCAGTAAAAAGATGTTTGAACGGTGACAGAGGGCCTTAACCCAATGCCTTTCCTGTTCTAATTCAAACAAAGACAAAGAATTGGTTTCAAAAACATTGATTGTGTTTCTGAGGTTGGGTTTCGGAGTCGGTAAAGGTTTAAGCAAAACCATGTTCTATTAGCAAAAGTGGAGAAGAACTTGTATATCTCGAGGATAACATTGTTTTGCTATCTCGAACCAATCGTGTTTTGCCAATGAAAAAGTTATCACGCGTTGCGGAACATGCCCTGTAATATATAAGTTTTTCTTGCAAAAGTGAGATCCTAAGAACAAATAAAAAAGGTTGAAAACTAGGCTTTCCATTTAACCTCCATACACACAGAGACAGTAAAAGCAACGCGGCAACACTTCATAGCAGAATGGTGTAGTGTGTGATTTTGAAAACTAAATAACATGGGGCTTTATTGAATGATGTCAAGTGGGTAGGCTAAGTTTGGGACTTTGATATTACATCATTTTTTGTCACAAAGGGTCTCAAAAAGAAAAGACTTGGGCGGCCATGCAATGCTATTGCCATTTATGCAGGTGGTGTCACATGAAGCTCCACATGGCCTCTGGGATAGATAGTGATTGATACGAGAAATGAGGATGAGATTTATGGAGATCATTTATTCGATTCACCTGCAAATGTAACTAAAATGCTTGCCCACCCACATGGTTTCTGCAAATGCTTACTCGTTTTAACCCTAGATTTTTTGTCTATAGGGAAGAATAATGGAGCTGTTGGTGTTAAGATGTTGACTTTTCACTATCAAGGAAAGCCTCTAACTTTCGTACAATTTGAATTTTTTTTTTTCGTGTGATTCATTCTACTCGCAAAGATTCATCTATAATTTAACACTTTCCAGAATAGCAAATGCCCTTCTGGTGATTATGCTCAATGAGTAAGATGCCAATAATAAAACCCAAATGATATAAGCAGTTGCAGCATTATCAAATTTAATGTATTGATGAAAACATTTTAACAGATTTTTCTTGTTCTTTTTCACCAAAACTTCTTGTTGGAGTTACATGCAGTGCAGCAGACACATTTTTCAAGCTCTACAGAAAATCAATTCTTAGGACAAGCATTTTGGAAAGATATCACTAAGTTACAAAGTTGAATATATACAGTGCTTAATGGACTGGACAGGCAACATTAGAAAAGAATATAGAAAAAGAGGGTGGTGATATGGGATTTTAAGTCTAACTTTTACTGCAGGCAATTAGCACTGTAAGCATATGGATTAAAAGGATAATACCGAAACAGCCGGTGATTATATAAACAACTAACAAAGTGGGATATTACCAGCGATCAACACTATTATAGCAGAAAGAAGTGAAAACAGGAGGATTATGACAGCTTTGGACTAAAATTCTTCCCCCAAGAATTTTCACCATGTGAAGAAACGAAATAAAGCCAATGGTCATGTATCCAACCAACATGAGAAATTAGTCTCCTAACTGGCCACATATACGAATAACAAAGCCAGTTCTATACAACTCTGATGGTCTCACAAATTTTTGTCCATGGTGAATTCACAGTGGTGTGATCAAGTTAAAAAGAAGACTAAAGCTAATATATAAATTTAACTGTAGTCCCTCAAGATGGACAAGATGTGATTCTCTAAAGAGCCTAACACACATAAACACAGACATATAAGCAATAACGGACTGAAGCCAAATACAGGAGGGATGTTCAATAAGATGCAAATAACATCCTCTCACGGCCCACCTGAGATTTATATAGATTCTTAATTTGTCCCTTAAAAGATAACTTCAATGGAAAATATTCCCTCCCAGACTCTTTTTCAGCTGTATCCCAGAGTGAAAAAGGTCCCTCAGACCCAGAATGTTTCTCCTATCCAGATGCCCCAACCCCCAGACCTAGAATGTTCTTCATTCTCTTTCTTGACATACAGCTCACCATACTCCTGGCTAACCCATTTGTACACACACAAAAGCAAATATATGTATAGAATCTATGGATATCATAGAGACTCAACGAAAGAGGGGGAAAGTTAAGAGTACACTCTTCACCCCCTTTCTTCTTCTCTCCCAAGAAAAGAAAAGGGTGAGAAGGGTGCATAAAAAGCATGAAAATTGAGAACTTTAAATTAAATACTGTATAACTCAAAAACTTCAAAAAACATCTGATGCATTAGAGGAACAGGAGGTCTGGTGGAAAGTTTTTCAGCCATCTCTTTGAAATATGTAATTTGACAAGAAGGTTCCTTAAATGTAATGAAGGAAATCAGACCCACACTTTTAACTTGTCATTTGTTTTTTGAAGTTCTATACAAGTTGCCTGTGTAGGAAACTGTTGAAGAAAGCTTGTGGCTCACACACACCACGTGTATAATGGTTAAGAAAGTTTTTTCTTGGAGAATCAAATTTGAGTAAGCTATGTAAGATAATCACATGCATATTAGAAAACATCGCATCAATTACAATATACAAAACAAAACAAAAATGCATTTATACAACAGGTGAAAGCACACATAAAAGAAGTCAATAGCCATACCACAATCCACATAGTATGGAGAAAAAAAGTATCTTCATTGACGACTTTTATTTATGTCGATCCCTATGAGTTCCTCAATGGGTTGACGGCAGATAGGGCATTTATTGGATTGAAGCGTCAACTCTTTTGCACAATCGCTGCACATACACTGGAAAAGACAAATAAAATGAGAATAAGAAACTGTAGTCTTAAAAGTGAAAAGCAAAGGAATAGAGGTGTTTATCCTAGCTTGCAATGTTGTATACAATTCTTGGAGTTATGAAGGACTCAAAACTTTAATCAAGAATTTGATTTCTCATCATCTAGAGAAAATACATTTAGGGTAGTTCAAAAGAAATTTGAAAAAGAGATGATAAAAACCAGGGTACCATGTTAGTGACCCAACCATCCAATGCTCTCACTCCTACTGATACTTTAGCAACTACTAAGATGAACTAAGAAAACTTGAAGGTTAGCAGTAATCTCCTCTAGGACCAACTAATGGTAGATGGTGATCAGATGAGTCAAGCCCATGTGCCGCGAAGAGTTCATTCACAAGACACATGCTCGAGCACAATGTGCTTGAGCCTTCCTGATCATTATTCTTAACAGCATTTCTACCATATGGTACTAGTGCAGATTCACCAGCATAATCTAAGGTAATTAGCTCTCTCTCTCAATATAATTATCTAATCTTAGACAAAGTCTCACCATATGTCGACAAGGTAGCACAGCAGTGTCCTTAGGTTCAGTCATGCATATCACACACTCCTTCCCAGGGTCATTGTCATCAAAGCCTTCCACTGTCGAGCTTGCTATTCCATATATCTCACGTAGCTCATAACGAACTTCATCAATCCACAATATCTGCCTAATTACTCTCACTTGGAAATGGTCACCATTGTTCTTTTCTAGTACAGCTTGAGTAATCTGCATACGAGGGGATTTATCTGGGGTAGGCTCAACAATATGCTCATCTGTTGAATGAGGTGGAAATGTTTCAGCAGATATTACAAGCGGAAATACATCTTCTCCAGGTGATGGTTTTGAAAGATCATCCAACTCAAAGAAACCTAAATCAATGCCTGTTCCTGAGGGCTGACGAAATTTTTGCCCGGAACCCTTCTGAAAGGGGACTCTCACTGGCACAAATGCTTCAGGGAATAGTGGAACAAACCTACAGTCTGGCTCTTCCTTGGCAAAGTAGAACACTGTAATGCTGTCAATAAGAAGACATGGTCAGATAAACAGAACATGATATACCCCATAAGAAATGAAGATCACAAAAGCACTGATAATTAGAAACAAAAAAGAACCAATAGCCTCTGCATAAGAAAATGGAAATCATTACTTATAACCATGAAGGACTACTAGCCATGGTCTTTACAGTTAGAGAACCATGACTGTGGCCAATAAGCATGTGATATAAGTGGAAACCACTTATGTAAGCTATATATGGCATATACATAGGGTGCGTGCTACATACATGCATAACCTTGCTGACTGGCTATAGACAGTTGCTCAGCAATAATATGCAGCAATCAAAACACCAATTTTTATATAATGCTACTTTTGGATGGTAACACTGGTTGCATATCAGTTGATATTATTAACCTCTAGATATAAAACAATGCCAATAAAAGAGGCAGGGAAATTAGCCCATTGGGACCACAGATAGTGTGGACACCAATTGTAAAGAGTTATCTTAAAAAAAATGCCTTCCACAAATTTTTGATACAAAACTTAAAATGAAAGCACAAGAACATATAGACTCAATTATAAAGATAAAAGCAGTACTTTACATAGTGCTGTCTTCAAACCTATGAAATACTTGATGAAAACAACATAACATTAACTGCATCTTACTTTGGTTACTGCTTATAGGTAAGGTAATGCCAGCATGACCTCTTAATCGAGAATCCAAGATAAATAACAGAAATCTGGAAAACACTGATAGAAAAGCTATAGCCCAAACACTTGATTACAGTCAATCCTATCCCCTCCAATCTCTACTTCCTCTTTCTTTTTTTTATAAAGAAAATCTCTACTTCCTCTTAAGAGCTGTTTAACAAACAAAACCAAGAAAATGTAAGCCCTTATATATGATAGGGAACCTTCCTATGGAAGAGAAGGGGCACCCATACCTTCTTAAGGTAGATAAAAACCTAGAGAATCTATTGTAGAGCTAAAATATCTGGGAAAAAAATTCACTTCAAAGAACCAAATGACAACCAATACTAATGTGAACTTGTTTGAACTTTGAAGCATCAATTCACCATTCTGAAAAGGAACCTTAGACGGATGTAGCTAATTTCTTTGTAATGGTCATGTCCACTACTGTCATCCAACCAACAGATAAAACACCTGAAAAAGCGAAATTCATGGGCTTCATGTGTTTTAAGGCCTCCCATCAGCAATTACATCATCCAAAGACTCAACTATGAACATTAAGTAACAATCATTTCGTAAGTCCCACTTCTTATCATAATTTCAAACACTTAGCTAATCAATATAATTGCAGTAATGCATTACATTTCTCTTCTTCCATCTCTCATCTTCCTTACTTAGTATGAATACCCTCTCTCTAATTAATTGCTAGGGAAACTCCATCTCAGCTAACCCAAACTGGGATGAACCTTTCGTATTCTCAGGTCCGAAAAGCTGATAGCTTTGAGATCCAAGACCCAAACCATTTCTTGTCCACAGCTTCTCAACAAGAATATGGATCAATCAAAACACTCATAGGCACTCAAATCATCACAAGCCTCAAGAATATGGAACAATTCAATAATTCAATGAGTGAAAGAAGACCTCAATTTGCTTACCTCCCATCATACATGGCATCAAAAACGAAAGAAACCAAATGTTGATCAGGGTTCAGCTCATCTATCTCAAGCCTCAATGTGTCCTTATGCACGTTGACATCGTTCTTCACCTTCTTGGCGTTCTGATGCTCAACGTGAGGCGGAGGAGGCGGCACGGGGCCCACGGGAGGCCGAATTGCGGGCCACCCATTAGCCTGATTGGCAGCATAATAAGGCTGGTAATTGTAATTGTAACTGAAGCGACCCATGGCGGAATTGGCATGGTTGCATGAACTGTAGTGGCCATAGCAGTAATGGGTTTGAGGTGGAGGAGGAGGAGGTGTAAGAGGAAGAGGGTAGGCGGGATAAGGACCTCTGGGTTGTTGAGCGTAAGGGGTGGCGGTATTGACATATGGGTAGTTACTATTATTTGCAGAAAAAGAAAATGAAGAAGAAGAAGATGAAGAAGCAAGCAGAGGACCAGGTGGTGGTGGAGGTGGAGGTGGCGGTGGTGGTGGAGGAGGAGGAGGAGGAGGTGGTGGAGGAGGAGAGAGAGAGGGATGGTCTGAGGAGTAATAGTGATGAGAATTTGCGATGTATTGGGGTTGAGGTGGTAGTTGTGGAGGTGGGTTCTGATAATAGTTGTTTCTTCTTCGGTTGCTACTCCATGAAATCCCCATTTTTGAGAAATGGGTTGGGGAAGAAGGTGAAAACTTTGATTGAGATGAAGAAAACAAAAATGGGTTTTGGGAGACTTGGTCTGTGGACCGTGGTACTGTAGAAGACTGTAGCAGAAAGAAGAAACAAGATCGCGTTTTGTTCGCGTGAAGAATCAATTTGTGTATAAAACGACAGACACATTTTGCGACGATTGGAAATTCCGCGGGGTTATAGAGAGAGGCATCAGTTGCGACTTGTTTTCGGTCTGTAATTCAACATTTCTGACTATTTTTATTTCTTTTCCTAATCTCAGTTTCATCTATTTGAATGAAACTTGTAATCAAATATTTGATTCATTGGTCTATAATTCAACATTTCTGACTCAAATTTTTTATAAATAATTTTATATCTCAATTTCATCTATTTGAATGAAACTTGTAATCAAATAGTGATTCAATTCTTACTTTTCTTAGGGTTGAATCAATAGATTTTTTGGAAGGGGTTCATTTTTTTATGGCTTTTTGAAGGGATTAGTTTAACATAAGTAAAAGAATGCTTATCTGGCCTGGTCAGACAACATAGAAGCTTCTTTGAGTTCAAGCTTTCTACACTAATATAATAAGGTTGATCATGGATTTATCCTCATGTTCAAGCCTGGCACTTTACAAAGAAATAAAAATAATAATAATAATGGGCCTCTAGTTTAGGAAAGGCCCGGTCTACTAGGCATAGAAGGTTGTGTCCATCACCGTCATTTGTGGGCTATGCCTTTTTATTTTATTAAACAATTAACTTGGGATCATTTGTGATATGTGCGTGAATCTCGGGTGTATGAGTAAATTCTCTTAATTAATTGAGCTACAAGCCCCTTGCGTAAAGTTCTAATTTTTATTGTAAGGATCATATAGCTTAAGTGGTCAAGAGCAGTTGCTTCACCCAAAGTCTTAAGTTAGTTAATACGATACTCTTTCATAATATAATTTAACCAAGCTGGCTATGCCTTTTTATTTTATTAAACAATTAATTTGGGACCATTTGTGATATGTGCGTGAATCTCGGGTGTATGAGTAAATTCTCTTAATTAATTGAACTACAAGCCCCTTGCGTAAAGTTCTAATTTTTATTGTAAGGATCATATAGCTTAAGTGGTCAAGAGCAGTTGCTTCACCCAAGGTCTTAAGTTAGTTAATACGATACTCTTTCATAATATAATTTAACCAAGCGTTACCTTAAAAAGAGGCTATTTTCTTGTTAATTGACCCTAATTTTTAACTCAATGGTTATTAATTTCTTAGTACCAAACACAAGCATGAGAAGGCAACTTATTTTTGGTATTGTTTGTATATAGAAATGTTTACTTCTATCTTTTTCCTTTGTTTTATTTCTTGATCTCAAATTGTACAAATCCTTGTAGAATGACATAATTTTGTTTGCTCTGTGGACCAAGTAGCTGATATGAACCTAGAATGACATGATCTGAATATCTGAACACGGACACAACACCATTGTTAAGCGGCTAAGAATTGAAGCCTTTGTTTCAACGATTTCATTTTGACTTCTACCAAAATATTTTTGGCTTGAAGTCCTTTGACAAAAAGAACCCAACAACAAATCAATTTTGAAAACACAAAACCAATAGGTTAACCAATTGGCTCGAAACCGGCAGCAACCCTTGAATAGTTGAATTCAACAAGAAGAAAAGTCTGTGGCTGGCAGCTGTTCATAAACAGAAATTATATAGTCATCTTCCACAGCAAAAATTACAAGACAAAGGTCTGCTGCAAGGTCTCTTTCTGCATTTGTTTATTTATTTATTTTTCTTGATGGCCAAACATCACATTGATAAAACCATATTTATCCAACAGATGCAACAATTTCAATCAGTATATAATACTACAATGTTACCTTCTGAAATCTTAAAAAACACACAATAAAAGAAACAAAAAACAAACAAAACCAAAGAGGGATGAAAACATGCTTTAGTAATGTTATCACCAACACATTACATACAAACTTACAAACAGAATAAAATCTCATCAGCAAAAATCTGGCCTGGGTTTCTTGCGAACCGATATGCAGCCTCTTTGATGATCCCTAAAGATTCTGATCTCACAATAGTCTCTGAGGTCCTCAAGGCTAATATATTGCTGCTTGACCATTCTCAATGTGTCACCACCACCAGTGTCATGAATCCAAACATAAGGGTGGCAAGTCTCATCATAGTAATAGAGCAAGCTCTTCATGCCACCACTCCCAATCTCACCACCTCCAGGCATATAGGCTTTGTATATGCTCTTGCATTTCAGCCTCTTTGAAGAGCCTGGTTTTATTGTGTGAACTTTTTTCAGTATAGAACCAACTCTTATTTGCAGCTCCAGAGGCTTGTCACACAGGTTCCAGATCCTTGTCCCAAAACCTGAGGCTTGTTGAGTATGATCCCTGCATCCATCAAAACAACCCCCAGTTGGGAAAATGCCAAATCTGGGCATCTTTGCTTTGAGGGCCTTCAAGTGTTTGGTCACCCTGGATTTAAAGACAACATGCATTTTTTTTGTGTTGCAGAAGATTCACTTCACTCATATATTTGACATTTGTAATCCATATATAACCTACATGGGCCTATACCCCCATTAAGTCAATTCATGATACTTTCTGATATTCTTGAATGGATGGCTGTGATTAGTTGATCTCTGACCTAACCAAGAGGGCGGTCATCACTTTCTGCAGTTGTGATTGTGTGACACTACATAGCTGATGCATGGAGTATTTGTATGAATTGTACCATAGAAAGATTTAACATGATAGAATATTTTTACCCCTTCCATTAAGGAACTGGTAGGGTCTCCCAAGGGCCCAAAATTCAACACAAGACAGTGGGAAAGTTGAGATATGGAGACAAAATAAACAAATGAAAATGCTGAAGACTGCTTTTTCTTTGTTTGGAGAGGGAGAAAGAGATAAAGTGAAGTGTGCCCACACATACAAAGCTTAATAATGAGGTCTCATGTATATGATGTTGCTTCCCATTTGGTCATAGCAGCAACTGCTTACTTTTGATTTACTCCTGTTCAAGTTTCCAAGTAAACACCTTTTCCCTCCCAAAACTGCTCCCATTTCTATAAGCATATAAAATCCCTGGTAATTTGGACCACAAGTAGATTAGGACTTCTCACATGGCTTTTTGAGTGGGGTGGTGGGGTGGTGTTTGTGCTGGTACATTACAAAGCCTAAAAATATGTTACAGGAGCTTCTGCATTCATTCTTGTCAGAACAAACATATTGAAACTTCAGACTCACCTACCCAGCACAATATTTTCCACTACCCAGCACAATATTTTCCACCATGACCCACATTGTGGCTCTCACATTGTCATATCCAACAAATACATTACTTCAGCATCAGGGCAAATCCAATCTTCTGTTTCTCACGTAACGTTCGGTGCAGAAAGAAAATTTATTATAAACTAACGGTAGGAGTCACCTATTATAATCATCTGCTCACACTTGACTTATAGTGAGCTACAAATATTTTTAAAGACTAGGGATCCCTATGCTAATCGCAAATCACGACTACGTGCAGGGATCGTTTCGCTATACTATCTAGGGAGTAGATAAACTAATCGCTCAATTTACATCAAACCAACCATTCAAGGCAAAGGACTCACAAGAATGATCTCAATGATTTTCTAATCTTTTATTTCAAGGTGAAAAGACAAAGCTACAGTCAAATAATACAATCTTCATGGTCAAATAAGCCACATTTGTCCAAAATTACAATCTAAAATATGGGTAAACTGTACAGGGAATGAATAAAAAGTACCAGATGCTGGAGTATTAAATAGGGCATAGGCCCTTTGAAAGAAGGTAGGTAGAAGAAGAATTTACAAAGAACAGGGATTTCACTTTTCATGATTGTCTTCAGACGGGTCTATCTTGATTAAAAGAGGTTGGTTGAGATGCGCAGGTGCTTCAGCGACAACAGGCAACTCTGGTGTAGCATTGATATCAATATCCTCATTTTCAGCTAAAGCTTTTTCCAGAGCAGCCTTGGCAACTCTTGTTACACAAATCATTAGAATCACTGCAAACAAGCCAAACAAAAAGAAAAGGAAGACAACTGAATACTTCAAAACTTCAATATAGGTACAGAAACTTCTATTGCAAAAATAATATTTACTATCACTATTACGATGAGTATAAAACTAAAAGTACAATTTTAAACCAAGTCTTTCTTATTCACCATTTTCAATATTGACAATTTCACTTAGTCCATAATTTTCTTTTGGGGAAAAATCAGAAACTACCCTTGAATTCTGACTCAAGTTCCTATGTCTTCTCAACTTTAAATCCATCAATATCTTTCAAATTTTTGAGTTTATTTATTTCTTATTTCTTATTTCTTATTGTCATATAGCCTCCTCTGTTATCTCGGCTAGTCAAAATGCATCATACAAGGAAACTGATAACAATAATCAATGAGTAACATGCATGTAAAAGATGCAAAATGACAATGCCCCTAGAATGAGATGATTCCCTCTCTCTCGCTCCTCCAAACCCCCCACCTCCATCTAGATAAACCCTTTATTTTAGGTTTTCTATTTTTTTAATGTTAATAGTCCTTCACACAGTAAATAACTTTGAATATATAGTCCTTCACACAGTAAATAACTTTGAATATATGATCGTCTTTCTTTGCCCACTTATCAAGCAACCATACAGAGATTTGTAATTTAGAATCTTCAATCTATGCACCCTCTTTCATAGAAAAACACAAAAATCACCTCTAATCAGAAAACCTCAGCATACCGTTATCCAGATCATAACTAAAATCATAAAAATTAGAAAACCTCTTCTTTTCATGAAAGTATATTGTCACCCAATCTCATGCCCACCTTCATCAATTACATTCACTTCACAACCCCATTATAGTGGTAGTCTCAAACTTTCTCAGTTCACCATCTCCCCCAACCCAAATGCAAGACCAAAAGAATTCCCCTTTCCAATCAATTTCACCTCACACTCACTAGCCAAAGTCCCTCTACTATTGTCTTCGGGGGCATGATTTGGAAACATCACATTGCAATGACCGAGACTACCAATCTTGACTGGGAGTTCGGGCTGGGGATAGTGGCAGAAGATTTCTTATATTTCTTGGGAGAAGATTGGGTGGTGACCTTAGGTTGGTGGCCTTTGGTTGGAGAGGCAAAGAAAGTGGAGAAAGAGGTTGATAACTATAAGAGAGCATATGAGGATTCCGATGACCAGCAGATGGAGGAGGCTAAAGATTAAGGTGGGTTGGAGAGCTGAATTTTTTGGCGGGAATTACAGCTTTGAGCTCATAAATGCTACATTGTACATTGACCATGTTAATGGGAAGGGAGAGAGATTAAGGAGAACATGAGAGACTTTCAACTCCTGTCAATACAACAACACTGACATTTCCTACTTAAGAGTGTGCCAAAGTCCAAAAATTATATTTCCCTATCTGCTTATTTCGTTCTTCCTTGTTTCAATAACATTATTTGTATCTTAAGCTGGAAAAACGAGATCATGTTATGATAGTAAGAACTCAAACATCTTTGTCTAACACAGCAATTCCCATGCTCCCACCCCACTAAGAAGGAAGAAGGTGGCCCTAAAAAAAGGCTTGTGTGTGCTTGTTGAGATGTTGCAACTTACCAGATACTGCGAGGCCCAATATGATAAAAGCCTGCATAGATAATATAAAAGAGTGAACATTTATCAGGAAAAAAACGAAAACAGGTGAAGAAACACTACTATACATATCCCAAAGCCTAATTCAAAATTAAATTGTGCTCTCTGAGAGCTTTATATGTCCATAACAAACAGTTATGATACAACCTTTGGAACATGATACTCACAACATGGTCCATGGGTCCTTAGTAAACCATGTCGAGGTGATATCAATTTGGATAAATCACATAATTACAAGCAGTTTCGAAGAGAAAAAGATGAGATAGCTCTTACCCAACGGGTCTTTGAAAATTCACCCCATCCATGGGTCACATCAGAAAGATCCTTGAGAGTTGTTCCAACATATACTAGCGCAAATGTTATTGGCTGTATGAGAATCAATATCAAACACATTAACATCCCAATGAAACTAAATCTCTCTCTCTCTCTCTCTCTCTCTCTCTCTCTCTCTCTCTCTTATAGCAAGATGTTGGGATAGAATCACAAAAAAAGTAGTGTCTCGAGGAGGGTGAAGAAAATACCATCATTCCTAACCAGGAAGCTAGCATGTATTGTCCTATTGGAACAGGAGTCACAGACAAGAGGTAATTTAACATGTTGAATGGGAGTAAGGGAACAAGACGAAGCAACAAAACAATCTGCAGAAAAAATTAAACAAGCAATATCAACATTCGTATTTTTTAATATAGATAAAAGTCATTTTACACTCTAACTAATTCCACTACTTCCTTGTTTCATTCTTCACCACTTGGAAAACAATAAGTTGGGGTAAATTAATAAGATAAGAAGCACATGGAAACACCAGTAAATGTGCATGCTAAAAATGTCAATTCACTTAATAAGGTCAGATATGAATCACCCAAACCTTAAATCCAGATCTCCGAATTGCAATTGCAACTGCCCGGAACTGAGGATAATCCTTCAACCTAGAAACAACAAATGATCTCCCAATCTGTATGGAAATTCATGAATAAGATAAAGAAATAAAAACATGAAAAATACACACACATTATGACCAATAGGACACAAACAAAATATTTACATATGAATGAGGGAGAACAGATATGAGAACTTAATACACCAAGAGGTAAGATTGTTTTTTTTCTTTCAGAAACTCAAACACTAAGAAATATACAATGAGATCTCAGAAACTAACAGTTCTGCCAAGAAGGAAGGCGGCCCCTGCACCTACAGTGGCTCCAATTGAGTCGGCAACAAAGCCCACAGGTAGCCCAAAAAGATAACCACCACCAAGCTGAAATATTTAAATGAGGAATCACATAAGGGTGCAAATGCAATTTAATCAGGAATTCTTTTTGAATTTTTCTCTGTGTAACAAAAGAAAAAGGGAGGCAAAACAAGAATGAACTTCAGACCATGGGCTTGATGTTGCAGACTATAATAGTAAAAGAAAATTTTAGATGAAGTAGGCAAGTTATATGATAGATCATTATTCTACAATAATTACAGGTGGTGTAACAACAATTGCTAAGACATCGGACAAATGCTTACGGTAAGTACTGAAGCTGGTACTGCCAAGACTGTTAGTGGAATGTATGCAACAGCCCTGCATGTTACCCAAAGAAATATAAGTTGAAAGGTAAACAGAGGCAGTCTGTTACTGTTCACCAGTAAGTCATCTTTGAGAACAAATTTAACATGTAGGAAGTCTGTTACTATGACTAACTTTTAATAGTACAACTAAAATGATGACAGCAATCAAAATGAGACATGAACATGATTATTAGTCAGGGCCAAAACCAAGGAAAAAACGATTTTGTAGAATAAAATGGTACAATTGCACATATATTACAGTGCTACAATTTACTTACAGAACAAGCGGACCCCAAGGACCAA